AAGCACCCTTGTGTTTCTGCTGTTCAGTATCCCCTCGAGATAAACGCCCGCAGGTAGCACTGCTAGGTCGAAGGCTTTGCGCGCTGTCAGCCGCGCGCACCTTTGCTCGCCGAGAGGAGCGATGGCCCTGTTATAATCCCGGTCCCCGACCCCAGCTCGAGGACCTCAACCTTGATCACAAGGAAATGCTACCAGAAAAGGTCTCTGGGGAAAGTTAGATGCATATTTAGCCGGGTGCGGTGGCTCACACCTATAATCCTAGCACTGTGGGAGCTGGAGCGGGAGGATCGCTCAAGGTTAGGAGTTCGAAACCAGCCTGAGCAGGAATGAGACCCCATCTCTACTAAAAAAAATAGAAAAAGATTAATTGGCTAACTAAAAATATACAGAAAAAAAAAATTAGCCAGGCATGGTGGCACATGCCTATTGTCCCAGCTACTCTGGAGGCTGAGGCAGGAGGATTGCTTGAGCCCAGGAGTTTGAGGTTGCTGTGAGTTAGGCTGACGCTATGGCATTCTAGCCTGGGCAACAGAGTAGGACTCTGTCTAAAAAAAAAAAGATGCATATTTAATTAACTTAATGACACGTGCATATTTAAAATCACATTATAAGTCATTACTAAATTACATTATAATATATTCATTTATATAATTTTTTTCTGCAACATTTTACCAAATAATTTCAAGCTCTTTGCCAGTTGAGGTGTTTCAAGTCAATGTGATTGTCTTATCCAAACAGTAATAGTCTATCCAACAACATTGACAATAACGAGCACCTTTTTAAAGGCTGGAGTTAGAGGTCACTCCTCCGTCTGCAGGATGATTGGGGAGAAGCCCTGGACCAATCGGAGAGACGATGTGAATCCATCCTCTGCGGGCCATGCACGTCTCATTAAAAACTGCACTGTCGCACTCCCAACCAAGTACCAGTAACAGGCTTAGTAGAAACAGAAAATAAAATCCTAAAATTTGTACAGATCCACAAAAAGCCCAAAGCAATCCTGACCAAGCCTGCGCTCGCTCCGTCCCTAACAGGGCAGCGGCTGCTGCCGGAGGCAGAACTGTGTCTGCCTGTTTCCAACAGACTGACCTTCCACTTCCACTCAGGAGAAAGCCAGGAAAATGTTATTAGTTCTTAAAAAAATTAATATAACATGATCGCTGAAAAAGGAACCTGAACCTCAGTGACCCCACTGGGAGAATGCGCAGCAGGGGTGGCCGCGGCGGTTTAATGCAGCTGATTTTCTGTGGTTGTTGGTTCTCTCATTTTTTTGAAAGGACCGAGACGGGGTTGGGGGTTTGGTTCTCCACCAAGGAGTTGGATACTTTCTCGCTCTCCCAAGATGTGAGTAGGACAGACTTTGGAAGGACATGCAGAGTTCAGTCCTAGGTGACAAAAGCTGACAAGCAGGAAACTGCGTACTCAGAGAGTCTGGCTTTGAAGATGTGCTGCCGCCCTCCTGCTGAGAGCTCGGTGCCCTGCGCAGCTCGCTCGGGGTTACGGCGGATTTGACTCGATTCAGAGCCACTTGTCTTCTGGTAAGAATTCCACGAAGCCTGCTCACCGACGGCACCCACGCTGGAATTTCCATGAACAAGCGGAGTTCTTAATGCAGTTTTCCCAGGTGGAGCAGCACATTGACGGGACCTAAGAATTCTGGCTGTTGGCTCTTACATACTCCATTCCCAGAGTGGAGTTATCAGCCCCCAGGCAAACTCTGGAAACTCTGGTCCGTGAGCTTGACCCAGCAGTTCTGGAGCGGCTCCACATGACAGGCAGTGCTGGTGCCACGCGTGAGAGCAGAACTGTGACCTGATGCCAGGTTGTCATTGATGCCACACTGTTTACTCCCGGTGGCTGTTCCGTGGACTGAATAAAATCGGTTGGAACTTACCGGACTATTAACATCACTCCAGAACCAGAATTTTCCTATGTTGGCTTTGAAACAAACTTAAGTCAGACCTGCTGCGAAGGCCTGACCGGGAGAGCCGGGGGAGTCGAGACCACCTAGTTGGCTAACTAGAGTCCTGAGTGCTGCGTGCCACTTTCTGTGCCCTGGACGGCTAAAGGCTTTAAGCTTCTTGATCGCCAGAGTGCTGTGTTCAGTGATTATAATAATAATTATTATTTTTTACCAGTTTTGCTAAGAAGCAGCAACAACAGCAGAATTAATTAAGAAAACTGAAGAAAAACTGCAAAAAGAGAACACACGTAGAAGGTGGCAGCTGCTTTCTAAATGCCAATACCAGGGACCACGCTCTCCATCACCACCACCTTGCGCCTGCAGAAGCCCCAGTTGTCACGATAGTTAATCGGTTTGAATTGTATGCGTTATTGTAGAAAGAGGTGGATGTCTTGCGCGAATGCCGTCTTCTGTTTAGGTCTTCTGTGCCACTCTTGCTGTGAAATTAGAGCACATGTAGAAAAAACCTTTTACTATGTGAAACATTACAACACTTGTAAAACCAATTCAATTTGGCTTATGTGCAGTGTAATATTTCTCCAGGTTTTGTCCAAAATTCTCCATAGACAATGATTTTGTTCTCTTTGTATGTTGGCCTCAGCCTAACCATCTGGGACTGTTCTATTGCTGCCAGAATTTTAAATCCCATTACCTCCACCTTCCAGAAATATTCTTTACTAATGTTATGTTTATCGGAAATAGTTTCTACTTAATACGGATGTTTTTTGCAATGGCAATTAAAGTTTTTGTTCCATAAGAAAAAAAAAAGAGCAAAGCAGGAGGTATCACGCTATTGTGCTTCAAATTCTACTACAAAGCTACACTAATCAAAACAGCATGGGACAGGCATAAAAACAGACACCTAGACCAATGTAACAGAACAGAGAACCAAGAAATAAATCCACATATTTACTGCTAGCTGATTTCTGGCAGAGGTGCAAGTGCATTCACTGGGGGAAGGACACTCTCTTCAATAAAAGACACTGGGAAAACTGGATATCCATATGCAGACGGATATGAAACTAGGCCCTTATTTCTCACTAAATACAAAATATCAAGTTGTAGTGGATGGAAGACTAGAATGGAAGACCCGAAACTATGAAACTACTGGAAAAAAAACATTGGGGAAATGTTTGAGGACTTTGTTCTGGGCAGATATTTTATGGATAAGACCTCAAAAGCACAGATAACAAAAGGAAAAATAAGCAAATGGGATTATATCAAACCTAAAAGCTTCTGCAAAGCAAAGGAAATTATCAACAAGGTGAAGAGACAACCTGCAGAATGGCAGAACATATTTGCAAACTATTCATACGACAGGGGATTAAAAGAACCCAAATAACTCAACTGCAAAAATAAATAAATAAATAAATAATGATCATCTGATTAAAAAATGGGCAAATGAGCTATGTAGACATCTCAAAAGAAGATATACAAATGGTCAACAGGTATATGAAAAAATGCTCAACATCACTAATCATTAGGGAAATGCAAATCAAAACTACTACAAGATAACATCTTATCCCCGTTAGAATGGCTGTTACCAAAAAGATTAAAAAATTCCTGTGATTATGCAGAGAAAGGGGGGCTCTTACACATTGTGGGGTGCAAATTAGCACAGCCACTATGGAGGACAGTGTGGAGGTTCCTCAAAAACCTAAAAATAGGACTATCATATGATCCAGCACCCCACCACTGGGCGTTTATCCAGAGGAAAGGCAATCAGGGTATCAAAGAGGCATCTGCACCCCTTGTTTGCTACAACACTGTTCACAGTAGCCAAGATGTGGAATCAACCTAAGCGCCCATCAACAGATGAATGGAGAAAGACAATGTTGTACGTATACATAGTGGAATGCTATTTAGCCATAAAAAGGAACAGAATTCTGTCATTTGCAGCAACATAGATGAACTTGGAGGACATTATGTTAAATGAAATAAGCCATGCACAGAAAGGTAAATACCACATGTTCTCACTCTTACCTGGAAGCTAAAAAAGTTAACCTTATAGAAGCAGAGAGCGTAATAGCGGGCATTAGAGGTGGGGCAGTGTAGGGGGGGGGAGGATAGCCAAAGCTTCCTTATAAATGCAGAGCTAAAAGTTAAATGAAAGGACCACATGTCCTCACCAGCAAATTGGTGTTAACAGATCAACACCTAAGTGGACATATAGGAGTAACATTTATCGGGTGTCCAGAGGGTGGGAGGGGGAGGAAGGGATGGATATATACAACCAAAACGAGTAAGATGTGCAACATTTGGGGGATGGGCACGCTTGAAGCGCTTACTCAAGTGGGGAGGGGGGCATGGGTAATATATGTAACCTTAACACTTGTACCCTCCCAATACGCTAAAATAAAGTAAAAAAAAAAAACTCAAAAAAAATGTTAAATGAAAGGTAAAATGGAATACTAAAATATACATATCTCATCAATTAAGAAAGTCAGGCCAGGTGGGGTGGCTCACGCCTGTAATCCCAGTACTCTGGGAGGCTGAGGTGGGAGGATTGCTGGAGCTCAGGAGTTTGAGACCAGCTTGAGCAAGAGCAAGACCCCATCTCCAAAAAATAGAAAAATTAGCTGGCTGCGATGGTGTGCACCTGTAGCCGCTGCTACTTGGGAGGCTGAGGGAGGAGGATCCCTTGAGCCCAGGAGTTTGAGGTTGCAGTGAGAGCTATGATGATGCCACTGCACTCTAGGCAGGGCGACAGAGCACGACTAGGTCTCAAAAGAACAGAAGGAAGGGAGGGAGGGAGGGAGGGATGCAGGGAGGAAGGAAGGAATAGCAGAGGAGCATACGACAGACATGACAAATAGAAATCAGATAACACGATGGCAAAAACCGGTAGAGCAGAGAGGAGAAATAGGTAAGCCTGCAATGCCATTTGGAGCTTTCAGCCTCTGTCACGGTAGGGCACAGTGCGGATGTAGGTGACCTAGACAGCAGCGCTCCTGACCAAGGGGGCCCGACTGGCACCTGTAGAACTCCCTGACAGTGGCAGTGTGCACATCCAGCATTGACGACCAAACAGCTCTCGTGATGTTGAAGAGGGTTTGAATCCTGCGGAGGGAGCGTGTTCCTTCACCGCAGCTGAGCTAACAGAAAGACACCTGGAAAAACCCTAAATATTTGCAAATGTGACAGCACACTTCTAAATAATTCAGTCTCGCGGTAAGATTTCTCAGAGAATACATAGAAAGCACGATCTATGAAAGGAAAAGCAGAAATCAAATTTTAGTATAAAAATTAAATTAAAAAACATCCAAATTAAATATGAAAAAAATTAGTACTACTGCTAATTCCCAAGCGCAGGCAACTGCTCCCATTTATTTTGTCTTTTGGCGGGGACACTACTCCACATCCCGTCCGCCTACAGCAGCCCCCTCCCCCCGGTAGCAGCCTGCGGACGTTCAGGGTGAATGAGTGAGCTAAGTCTTGTTTCTTCACTATTACTGGGACACTTTGAAATTAAAGGCAAACTAAAATTATTTATATGATTATATGTATTTTAAATGCCCTTCAAAGGTATAGCAACTATCTGGAAGAAATTTAGTTAACACTGGGCCATGGCCAGACACCAGCGTCGGCCCTAAACACAGCCTTTCAGGTGACAGTGGCCTTTCGTACCCAGTGGGCCTTTATGGATAGGCTTTTCATAACTTTCGGTCGCTTCTGTGCACCGTGCTGTATTTATTTTGGCAGCTGCCAGCTTTTGGAGCCGCAGCACAGTGCCGTAGAATCAGCGTCACCTAAGGGCCTTCGCTGAGCTCACCCGGATTGTTCGATCCTGGAAACTCATGAATAATTCATCAGAAGGCCTAATTCTTGCTGAACCCTTTTTTGTGTCGTGGTGAAACAGACATGACGTAGAATTCTCCGTGTTGACCACTGTTGCGTGCACAGCGTCCTGCGTTAAGGACATCCACATCGCTGTGCGGTTGTCACCACCATCCCTCTCCAGAACTTTCTCATCCTCCCAAACCAAAACTCTGTCCCCATTAATCATTAGCCTCCCATTCCATGTCCCCCTAGCCCTGGTCACCTCCCTTTTACCGTCTGTCTCCACAAGCTCGACTTCTCTGGGGACTTTGCACGGGTGGGACCAGCAGTATCTGTCCTTCCGTGCCTGGCCCTTGCCACTCAGCACAATGCTGCCGAGGTTCATCCATTTCCGTGAATTCTTAATATGCTACTGCTTACTTTCCATTCGATTCATTACTGATTTTTGTTTCCCACATAGCATTTAAATCTCTCTTTTTTTTTAGACAGAGTTTTATTCTGTCGCCCCAGCTAGAGTGCAGTAGTGTCATCATAGCTCCCTGTAGCCTCAAACTCCTGGGCTCAAGCAATCCTTCTGCCTCAGCCTCCTGAGTAGTTGGGACTACAGGTGTGCATCTCCGCACCCAGCTAATTTTTCCATTTTGAGTATAGACTGGGCCTCCCTCTTACTCAGGCTGGTCTGGAACTCCTGGCCTCAGGCAATGCTCCTGCCTGGGCCTCCCAGAGTGCTGGGATTATAAGCATGAGCCACTGCACCTGGCCCATTCAAATCATTTTTGAAATCTGGACTTCCTAGAGGCCCCAGAACTATTTTCATTTGTCTTAACTCTGTCTGTTTTACTGCTCTCACTGCGTCCTATTTCTCTGTCCCTGTTTCTCTTATACAGGAGCGAACCACTTCAGTATGTGGTAGGGAAGAGGCATTTGCTGAATGCAGACGAATATCTCTTCCGATCCTGGTTTAGCCTGCTGCCTCTGAGTGACTTGGCTCAGTATATGAAGAGCTTCGTTGAATACCTGGGCCATTTTCCTGTTGGTGACTGTCTTCTGGGGACTTACTACCGGCTGGGAGGACTTACGAAAATCTCTCACCAAAATCTGAAGGTCTGTCGTCTCTTAAGTCCTTGCTTAACAAAAGCAGATTGAAAACTAGGCACTGAAGGCTCTCGATCCTCCTTTTCTGGAAAACGGACAGAGTGAAGCACCAAGAAACGAGAGAATCCAGATAAGTCATTATTAGTTAGGGCTCAAGGTTGATTTCCTCGAGTTTATTCTGTTTCAGTGAGAGCCGTTCAAGGAGACTGTGGCCTTCTGTCATTTCTGACGGCACAGGGCGGAGCCGGACGTGATCGCTTGGGATGCACTTCATAGATGCTGTCTTTCCTTTCACAGTTTTTGGGTGGAGAAAATAATTTTAAATCTCGAATTTTATTTGTGAGAGATGCAAGATTAGTATATGAGCATGGTAAAATCTGTAAGAAGGAAAGCATTTATATCTTATGTGCATTGGATTTTTTCCAGCTCTGTTTTTAGCAATGACAGTGGTGTCGTGATTAATCTTCTTTCCTGCTTTTCTTTTCTTCACCACCCTAGGATGTTGAAAGTGTTTTAAAAATGCTGTTGCACCTCCTGGGCGCTTACCACCACAAGTAAGTGGGAAAGCAGAGCGCAGCCTCTCTCGGGCCCCAGGCTCTCCCTGTCACTGCCCCGGCTGGCAATCCCGCACGGGGAGCCGTAGCAGGAAGGTGACAGCGCTTGGCCAGCTTCTCCCTTCAGGCCATCATCGCGGTCATCCAAGTCCTTTCAAGGGATGTGATAGATGTCAGCTGCTAAGATTTTGTATTATTTCCACCCGCCCTTTACATTTATTCATGTATTTTTAAGCGATCATCATATTTGTGTTTGTGTGCTGCATTTCTTTAACATTTAGCCTTTAGATGTTTTTTACAAAACACGTAAAGCTGAAAATAAGCATCCAAGGTAGCTTCACGTAATTATCAGAAGTCATTTGCGTCTGCAAGTGTGTGTGCTCTGACGCCCTGTGGCGCGAGTGTGCGGAATGCAGGAGAGCAGAAACGTCCCAGGGAGCGACGCATGTTCTGACTCTCGCGGCACTTCCAGCGTTTGCTCACCGGGGCTCCCGGGTGATCAGGAGGCAGGCGGCAGTGCCGTGTCTCCATCCGTGGCGAGCACCTGTGACTGCAGGGCCCCAACACTGTGTCCCAGAGTCACCCAGCGAGTCCTTTCTCATGGCGCCCCCAATCCGCCTTCTCACCCACCCGCCGCCTCCCAGCTCTGCCCCGGGAGTCAGGAGCACAGGCCTGATCCGCAGAGTCGGGTCAGTGGGGACGCCACACGCACCGCGTGATCTCCTGCCACTCCCTTCTGTCTCCCCCTTTCCCGTTTTCTTTATCAACATTTTAAACAATTTATGTAGTATTTTAACATTTAGTAATATGTGTCCCTTGCTTATTTTCAAATAAGGGAATGCACTTAGAAATATTTTAACTTGCTTTTGTTAGAACAGTTGAGACTACAGAGGCAAAACAAAAGGGCTTTGTTTCCATTTTATCGTAGTCACTTCTTAAAGACCAAGGGAAAAATTGTCCGGGTGTTAGCCGAGATGAGGTCGAATAAAGCCTCGCAGTTAGTTATCTTAAAGGGAAGGGACTGGGTTGCCGCACTGGGTACCGTCCTCTCGTTTCTCCTCAACGACTGCAGTGCTTTCTCTCCACTCCTTCCGGGGCAGCATTCCCGAGGAGACCTTGTCACAGTCCTACCCGGCCGTGTGCCTGAGGCTGCACGAGGCCGTCTGCGGCGTCACCAATACCGTGGACTTTTATGAGATTCCCGCCTTGTCGGCCGAGATCATCCGCACTGTTGTCGCTCTTCAGCCCGCCGTGGTGAGTGGGGTGGACGCACCCGCGTCCTGCCCAGGGTCGGTGTGGAATTTAAGCAGCCTCGATTACAAAGGGACCGGACTCAGTTCTCGCATGGCTGGACCAAGAGTGAAATACGGGTCGGGCACCCACGCGACGCAGGCTTGGTCCTGGGCACTGAGGGTGTCTCGGGTGCGCTCTGCCTCCTGCGCTCCCTCGGGAGGGAGGGAGTTCCCATGTGGCCCTCCAACGGCCCCCGGAGGTGGAAGAGCTGTCCAGGCCAGGCCTTGCCTGCACGGCGACCTTGCACTTTCCCGGGCTGTGTTGTCCACTGTGGACCGTGGGGACCACGTTCCCCCCAGACACGCACGGGAAGCACGGTCCTTCCCATGAGTGCATGCGTCTTTTCGTTGCAACTGGAATGCAGCAGCCTGGCACACAAGGCCACCCGTGTGTCCTCAGGCACACGCCCGAGCGCCAGGCCCGGCCCCGGCCCCTCAAGGACCCTGCTCCTCTGCGCCCCCTGTCCCCGCCCCCTTGAAGGCACCGCCCTTCCTACCTCTTCCCCCAGCGCTCGAGTTCTGGTCCCACTGTTCACGAGGCATCGTGTCTCTGAGATGTGTCCTCATGGTCGGGGATACCAGTGGTTCCCTGTCCGTTTCTGTGCGTCAGTCCCCCACTCTGGGCCTCGCTGTGAAAGTGATATAAGGTTTTACGTCTGGACTGGCCGTTAGTTTTTTAACCATACTCAAATCAGAACTGTGACTTTAGTGATAGAAAACAATCTATGTTTAACCTTCACTCCTTTCCGTTTTTCTTCTTTGAAATGCCACAAACACACTTTAACCATTAGTATCGCTGCAAGATGATCCGTTTCTCCAGGAGCGGTGCTATTTAAGCCATCTCAGGCAGGTGCCAGCTTCCAAATAAACTATGTTTAAGAAGTTTTTCAATTTTGAATTAAGGGATATTTGGGATATGTTTTCTGCAGAAATAACTCTCTTCGGTGTTGGTTGGGATCTTAGATTAGTCTGATCCACATCATGGTCAAAATACTTACCTTGTGCCATAGAAACAGGGGAAAAGCTTTAAAATACTAAAATTAAATAAAGCGAAACCACATGACGCATGTCTACAAACCCCTTGGGTGGACGCTGCTGTACTGGCCGTGGGACTGCCAGGGCGCTCGGTGGGAGCCCCGGGGAGCGCAGCAGGAGGGTCTGGGGTGCATGTGCAGCCTTGGGGGGCTTTCGGCGTGTGTCACTGTTGAGCCTTGGCCGGACCTGTGCTGGGCAGTGGATAGAGGTGGGAGTGGCATGTGTTGGGGCTGTTGCTGCAGTTAAGGGGGTGCCAGGGGCCGAAGTTTCGTTCGTGGCAAGGGCAAGACCACAGGGACAGAAACGCCATGCTGAGGCTTCTGGGTGGTTCTAGAAGGTGCAGTGCTATCCAGGGACCTTCAGCAAGTGCCTGTTCCGTTTTCAGTGGAGACCCCCACCCCCTGCATCCCGCCTGGTCTCCCTGTGCGCTCCCAGCCACGCGTGAGGGACACGCAAGCCTGTCAGAGGCCCAGCTTCCAAGAGCACTTTAAGCTCCCCGTGACCCCGGCCGCCCTCTGCCAGCAGGCGGGGTCTCCTCCCCCGCCCCCTTTACACCTTTTGAAAACTACCTTCCTGTGTTTTCCTGTCCTGCTGGCACTTGCTGTGGTCAGGGATCACGTCTATGTGTCTGTCTCCCTGTGGACGGTCTCTCTCTCACTGTGGCCAGCTCTTTCTTGGCCACCACACCACCCAGCCTCGAGGTTCCCAGCGAAGGTCTAGGGAGGGTGACCAGCAGGTCCAGGCTGGGGGCTGTGTTATAGACACATAGCTCTCCCAGGGGTGGGGGCCTGGTGCCTGAGCTGTGTTTGTTTAGGGTCACTGTGCTTCTGGTGAGCAAAGGTGGAGGGGCTAGAGGGAAGGGAGGGGATGGGGGAAGGGATAGAGGGGGGATGGGATGGAAGGAGGGGAGAGGGGAGGGGAGAGAGGGATGGAGAGGGCACCACTAGGGCCTGAGCCCCGGGGAAGAAGCTGTCCTGTGGGGAGCAGGCGGCGATGGGAGGGGCCTTCGGTTTCCCTCTTGGCCAAGGGGCAGGCTGTCCCTTGTCACTGAGGAGCAGGGCCCAGGGTGTATGCCCGCAGGCTTGTCGGGGCTTCTCTGGGGCTCTCGTTGGGGTGCTCTTGCTCGCCTGCTCTGCCCCCTAAGGTCAAGGCCTAGGCGTCTGCCTGGGCTCTCCCTGCCGGGGGACGTTAGTGCCATTCCTTCTCCCCTGCTTTTTTCCCGTGTCTCCCTGTCGGGGTGAACCCAGCAAGCACTGGGGAAACGAATGTGCTTTTGCAAGGTAGGCGTCGGGCCAGGCCCGAGTGCCCCTGGCGCGTGGCTGCGCCCCCAGCACCCACCGCGAACGCCAGGGGAGCAGCAGGGCGGGGCCTTGAGGAGAAGCTCCTCGCCCCTGCGCGGCGGGACACTCAGCCCCTCTCTTGTGTGATGACAGGACTCAGGAGGACGCGGGAAGGAAGCCGGGAAGAGTTCGGTTCCGACATTCTCCCAGAGGACTCTGGCTGCTACTAGAGCTTGGCTCCACAGAATTCTTAAGAAGAACATGTTCCAGGAGACACGTTCATCTGTCTCACTCACTTATTCTGAGGAAATCCAGGTAAGCTCCCCTGACGGCTTTTGGGTAGGGACATGGCGTGACAGTGGTCTGTCTCGACCTTGTGGAGAGTCGTGGCCACGGGCTGGTGGCCAGGCGCCCGCTGTGAGTCTGCACGTGTCAAGTGGCGGCTCTGCCGTCCCTGGCAGGTCCTTCCTGGGCAGACAGGAGACACCAGGGGTGAATGCTGCTGCCCGGCACCCGGACTGGGCCGTGCTCCCTGGGGTGGCGAGGGCGCCCCCCCATCAGGAAAGGTGCTCCGCGGCCGTGGTGTGCAGGGCAGCACCTGGGCGCACCTCAGTACCGAGGTGATGGGGGTCAAGTTGTGACCTCAGAAGTGGAAGGAAAGGTGACAGGAAGAGCAGTTTGTGGGTCTGGATCTGGGAAAAAGAAAATCCAGCACAGGATGGTGGGGAGGGGGGCGGGTTCCACCGAGAGACGAGACGGGCAGAATCGCGGGCACAGACGGGTAGCAGTGAGGAAGAGGAAGCTGCTGGATTTGGAAAACGGTTGCGGGCGACCCTGTGAGCTAGGCCGGCGGTGGTCGGGGAGGGCTGGGGGAGGGGCGGCCAGGGTGCTGCCTGCTCTGCCTCGTTCTTGGTGTCATTCTGTCTCTCCTGCGTCCCAGCAGTTGTGAAGGCCATACCTTTTGAGCCAGGTGAGCTTCCAGGGTGCGAGGCGGACCACAGGCCCCCTCGTGATCGTGCTTGGGGAGAGATTTGGTCTCATAGTCCGCGTGAAACGTGAGCACCTCTGGCTGTGGACCAGGTGCGCCCTTGCGCAGTTGGCTGCACATCCTATCTCTGAAGCGAAGCCCATTTCCCTGGAAAACCAGAGGCGTGGTTTTCTGAGAAAAGTCACTGAGAAAAGTAGCTGCAAGAGCAACACGGGCAAACAGAATGCTGATGGTTAGTAGTGGTTACGCCTTGCTCCTGGTGCCAGCGTCAGTCCCTGTGTGTGACGAGTGGCTCTTGTGGGAGGTGGCCCCACACGGGCCTACGCCATAGAGCAGTCAGTGGCTTCCTTGCAGCGTCTGCCTGATGACTACATCTGTGCCTCACAGTGAACTTCCAGACTTTTCTGTCTCCTAACAAGACCCAGGCCTCCAGCCACTGCCCGTTTTCTGTCAAGAATGAAAGTTCCAGATTTCAACATGTGACTTTTTTTAGATGAGGTTTTGCTCTGTCCCCTGGTCTGGAGTGCAGTGGTGTCATCACAGCTCATGGCAGCCTTGAACTCCTGGGCGTAAGCGATTCTCCTGCCTCAGCCTCCCGACTAGCTGAGACTGCAGGGGGGAACACTCCGCTGAGCAACTTGTGACTTTTAAAGAATAAGAAAATCCTTCTCTGATTGCTGTGTTCAGACTCACAGACTTAAATCCTGCCAAAACAAAATTGATTTATAAAATATTATTTCAAGATTCTAAATGATATGATCCCCCAAGCATTAAGTGTTAGTTAGGGACAGCCATTGACCCACGGACATGACAGAATGATTCTAAGTTAAATGCAGTAATACTGGTGGTAAAAATTAAAATGTAATTATTACTAAACAGCTACTCTGAGGTTGATACTGTTGTTATCCCAGTTTTATAAAGGAGGAAACTGAGGTTTGGGGAGATGCAGGTGCCCTGACATTGTTGAAAGCCAGAGTTCTTTCTCCCCGTGGAGAACGGTGCCCTGAGAGCCCAGATGGGTCTCATGGGCCTGTTCACACGAGGCTGAGGGGGACCATCACCCCGGGGGACAGGTGCAGCCGCCACAGGAAGGTGTAGGTAGGTGACCAGGCTTGACCTACAAAAAGTGCATTTTCATATGGTTCAGCCTCACAATGTTTCTGCCAAAAATATCTTAATCTGAATCAAATCATGGGAAATGTATGAGACAAACCAGGTCAAGATACAGTCCACAAAATAACTGGTCTGAACTTTTCAAAATTGTCAACATCATAAAAGAAAAAAGGCTGGGGACACTTGTAGAAAAGAGAGTTGGTAATGAAGTGCAGCATGTGTCTGCAGGTCTAGACGGTCAGGACAAGGGGGACACCTGGAGCAATGTGGGTGGGGACACCTTAGAGTGTCTTCTCCATGCTGACCGTCCCGAATGGGACACTTGTCCCACCGCTGTAGAGCAGAAGGGTGGGTGGAGTGTCGTGAAGTCTGCTACCAACTTAGGATGGTTCTGCGGAGGAAATGCCCGTTGGTGGGGAGGGCCCAGGGGGAGAGAGGGAAAAGAGGGGAGAGAGCGCCGCTGTGTTAAACTGACAACTCGGGACTGCGGTCGATATGGGTGTCGTTGTGCTGTTCTTACAACCGCTCTGTAAGTTAGAAATTTTTCAAAATAAAATGTTGGAAGCAAACGCTTCCAGAATAAAAGGCAATGACGCAGCAGGAAGGCCGGGGACATGCACGGGTGCGTCGGGGCCCCGGCTCTAGAAGGCCGAGCTGAGCCGCCACTGGGACTTGCCACTAGCACAGCTGGCTGGTGGCCAAGGTGGGGCCCGGGTGTCCCTGCAGCCCTGCTCGCTGTCTCATCGCGATGGTGTGTCTTTCTCTTGTTGCCCGTGAAGGCCCACACTGTGGCCTTCAGTCGTCACAGCGGCTGTGACTTGTGTGCGGGTTTTGCAGGTCTGGCGGCGGCTGGTGGAAATAGACTTCCCCGCGGAGCACGGTTGGAAGGAGTCGTTGCTGGGAGACTTGGAAGGGCGGCTCAAACAGGTACCAAAGTTGGGGGACGTTCCTTTC